AAACTGGGTGGAGGGTACATGAGACCTCCCCATCCTTTATTTGAAACTCCCTGTGAATCTATAATTATTATTATTATTTTTTAATTTTAAGGTGAAAAAACTCCAGCACAATGCCTAGCACATAGTAAGCGCTCAATAAATAGTAGCTATAAATCCTACTAGGATTCCAGCCCTTATGTAGCCCTGTTACAGAACAGGGAGTCAGACATATTAACCGACTCGAGTACGGGTGAGGGAAAGCGGAGACATGCGATAGAAATACACTGCGAGCCACACATGGAAGTAAACATTTTCTAGTAGCCACATCAAAAAGGTAAAAAGGAGGGGCTGGCCCCGTGGCCGAGTGGTTAGGTTCATGCGCTCCGCTGCAGGCGGCCCAGTGTTTCGTTGGTTCGAATCCTGGGCGCGGACATGGCACTGCTCATCGGACCACGCTGAGGCGGCGTCCCACATGTCACAACTAGAAGAACCCACAACGAAGAATACACAACTATGTACCTGGGGGCTTTGGGGAGGAAAAGGAAAAAATAAAATCTTTAAAAAAAAAAAAAAAAAAAAGGTAAAAAGGAGCAGATGAAGTTAATTTTAACAAGATATTTAATTTAACCCAGTAGACCCCAAATATTATTCCAACATGCCATCAATATAAAAATTAGATATTTTACATTCTTTTTAATTTTGTGCTACCACGTTGAAATGTGTGTATATAAGTATAGCACATTTCAATTCAGATGCTCAGTTTTCATTGAAAAGATGATCTGTACTTCGATTTCATAAACTTTATGGCCGGAAAAGTAGATTCAGATCCTGCAGTGGTTCCAAACAGACTTAAAGTTTTCCCATAACTGAATGCAGTCTGAGTTTTGTTTTTAACTTCAATTTCAAGTAATTAAAATTAAGTAAAATAAAAAATTCAGTTACGTCGTCGCACAAGCCACATTTGAGCGCACTTTTGGCTATTGTGCTGAGCAGGGCAGAGAAAAGGGGATGTGTGCTAGAGAACGGATTCCAGGTAAGATTTTTAGGGAAGTGGTGGCATTTGAGCCAAAGCTTAAAGGATCGCTATGATTTTACAGGGAGAGACTATGTCAAGTACGTGAAACATCGTGGACAAAAAGAAGCAGATTTTGCTGGTTGCCCACCCAATATCTATACCCCTTTCTCCCCGTACTTACTAGACTTTGATTTTCGGAAGCAGTGGCAATAAACCAGCTAAAAAAATCTACATTTCCCAGCTTCCCTTCCAGATCCCGTTGCCAGGCTATTTCTGGTCAGCAGTGTACGGGAAGTAGTTGAGTTCATCTTCCAGGAAGGCTCCTTAAAAACTGGAGTTGACTCAGCTCACAGAGCCTTGTGCCTTTCCCTCTTCCTCTTTCTGCACGCCTGGAATGAAGACCCAATGGTCGGAATCACAGCAGTAATTTTGTGACCTTGGTAAGAGAAACCATGCATTAAGGATAACAGAGAAGAAAGACAAAATGAACATGGGACATCGATGATTTGGGGTCCACACCATGGCAGCCTTGGAGTTCTTTTGAAGTTAGAAGAAAATAAACCTCTATCTTTTTAAACTGCTGTTATGTCAGGTAGCAACCTGGCACAATTCCTAACCAATCAAGGTGTGAAAGTGTCAGGAGAAAAGTGGATAGTTTGGTATGACTGGCATTTGTTAAACCATCTCAGGAAAATTATTTATTTATTGAATACTACTCACAGGGCTTAAAAAGTATAATTTATGTAACCACTACCACGATAACATTTTATTGATGAGGAAACTGAGACACAGAGAGGTTAAGCCACTTGGTCAAGGTTGCACAGCTAACGGGCGGTGGATCTGGGCTTCCAGTCCAAGCAGTTTGACCAGAAGGGCTGCTGTCTTGAATGGAAATAAAGGAATTATGGCTGAATAATGGGAAGGAGTTTGGTCTGGGCTCACACACGTGAACCTCGGCCTAGACGCTCAGACCCCACTCGCTTCAGTGCCCGAGGCCCGTGTGGGTCTCTGAACACCAGTGGCAGCTGATCGACTTGGATTCACCACGCCAACATGTCCCCCCGCTTGACGGCCCCCAGACTCCAGGCCATGCTCCCGCCGACTGTGTTAACGGCCTCCTGGAGGTGACCTCTTGGCTACATACCGTGTTCTCCTCATCCCAACCCAGCGCCGGCTCAGCCAGGAGCTCCCTCATTTCCACCCCGGGGGGCCTACAGCATGATGGACTCAGGTCAGCCTCACCGGGGCTCCCGTTCAGCTGGCAGGCAGCGGTCTGCCGTGCTGGGCGTCCACAGCTGGTGTCTGTTCTGATTGGCCACTGGCCATGCCGTGCCACCTATTAAAGATGTTTAATATTACCCCTGCCGGGTCAGCAGTTATGGGATCTTGGGCAAGTCACTTCCCGGCCGAGTTTTAATGTGCTCATCTGTAAAATGGGAGCATAACCCTCCCCTCCCGGGGCCAGGGAGACAGCGAGGTTGGACCACGTCTGTAAAGAACTTAGCAGCATCCCCAGCTCCCACGCTTGGTGACTGGTGGTCACTACCGTCCTGCTGGCGGTGACCTGATGTGGGCAGGACAGCGCTCTCGCTTCCTGGGTCCTGAACCCGATACGTGGGGCATCCTTGACATGGAACGACCACAGTCTCTAGGCTCTAAACCTGTCTGGTGTGATGGAGGGAACTTTTCTTGGATTTAAATGATCTGGGGTCTGGTTCCAGCCCAGCGGCTGATGTGGGACAAGCCGCCACTGCCATCTCTGGGCAGCTGTCAGGGAGGGGGTTGTAGCAAAGGCCCCGGGGCCAGGCGGGCTGTGCAGGTGGGAGAAGCTGGGCAGGTGGGATGCAGGATTCAGACATGGAGAGGGGCTGAGGGAGCAGGCATAAGGCATGGGGACAGAGAGGGTCCGCTCTTAAAGGAGGCCAGTCCTAGCAGCCTGGGGTATCTCCTGGTGACCATGTGAAGGGAAAGGAGGTGGACATAAACATCCATTAAGCTCTTACTGTGTACCAAGCTCTCTCTGTATATGGGCTTATGTAATTTTTATAACATGGTTCAAGGAAGGCATTTTAATCCTCATTTGATAGACAAGGAGATTAAGGCCCAGAGACGGAGGTGAGTTTCCCAAGGGTCACACAGCTGGAAGGCAGCAGAGCCGGAATTCAAACCCACCCCTGACTGTCCACAGGAGTGTCGTTTCAGCTCCTTGAAAGATGCCCAAGTCACCCACCTCGGAGTTTTCTCTTGCGTGTGCCGCTCCTCAATCTCCAGCCTTCTCCCCAGCCCCCACCTCTTCCTAGGCTGGCTCCTTCTTGCCCTGCGGCCTTCAGTTTAAAGCCTTTGGGGAGGATTTCCGCGCCCCTCCCGCTGAGCAGGCCGCACCCGTCAGCGCGTTGTTCTCGCCCATCGAGCTGCTCGCCGCGTCCAAGTCCCCATCACTTATTAACTTTCTGTTTGTTTCCTTTATCTAAACAAGGGCTTTCCTCTCAAGGAATTCACATTTAAACGGAGAAGAAAGGCACCGAACCCAGCAATAAATAATTATCCAGGCTGGGAATAAGTGTGAGAAGAAAGTAAAACAAGGCAATGGGATAGAAAGTGACCGACAGAGGAAGGGAAATTCAGATGGGGTGGTCAGGGAAGGCCTTTTGAGGAGGTGATGGATTTTTTCTTTTTTTTTCTGTTTCTTTTTTGGTGAGGAAGATTGGCCCTGAAGTAATATGTGTTGCCAATCTTGCTCTTTTTGCTTGAGGAAGATTGTCAGTGAGCTAACAACTGTGTCAATCTTCCTCTATTTTGTATGTGGGATGCCGCCGCAGCATGGCTCGATGAGCGGGGTATAGGTCCACACCAGGGATCTGAACCCTGAAACCCTGGGCCGCCAAAGTGGAACACATGAACTTAACCACTCTGCCACTGGGCTGGCCCCAGAGGTGATGTTTGTTGATGAGATCTGAGAGTTGAGAAGGAGAGAGTCATCTGAAAATCCTGGGAAAGGGTGCTCCAGGCAGAGGAAACAGCATGTGCAAAGGCCCTGAGGTGGGAAATGAGTTTGGTGTGTTCAAGAGATAGAAAGAAAGCCAAGTGACTGGAGCTTCGCAGCCCAGGGGAGGGTGACAGGAGTTAGACAAGGCCAGGGACCAGATCATAAAAGGCCTTAGCGGTTGAGATAAGGAGTTGGTTCATTGCTTACGGTTGTCTCCTAACTAGACTGGGAGCTCCATGAGGGCAGGGCCCTTGTCTGTCGTGTTCATGGCTGTATCTCTAGACTCTTGGCACCTGCAGGTCCTCAGTAAACACCGGCTGCATCAATGAACACAGTGTTAACGCACTGCCTCTTACAGTCTCCATACGTCTCCTGTGTGTTTTTTGAGCACCTTCCCCACCTGCCATGCCCTGGCCTTTCCTTTGGGGTCGCATTCCTCCCATACCCTAGAGTTGAGGATGCACCCCAAACACGTGAGGTCATTCACTCACAAAGGCTCAGGGGTCCCCCTTCCAGGAAAGCTGCGCTTGCACAGCACGTCTCTGAGAGCTCCGCCAAACTCTGTGCCATCAGATGGTGGAATTCCAGGCCCACGTGTGTCTGTGCTCATCAGCACGTGTGGACACTTCACGTCCTGGCGCGCTCGGATCAGTGCAAGAAGGCCACCCCAGCTGTTAGGAAACTCGCTCACGTCAGTACCTCGTGGGCCTCTCTCTGCACGGGGCCCGGGGGTGGAGAGTGGACGAGCTTTGCTGGGGAGGCCCAGGCAGGGTCAGGACTCTGCAGCTGGGGGGCCCCCAATCAGGCGCGGCTGTGCCCTCCAGCCCCCCCTGGGCGCTCAGCGCATCCCGCGCCTGTTCACCGTGTTGGGTGGCACTTACAAACGGTGGACACCCGTGGTCCGTGGGAGAACAGGGATGGGGACAGCCCCTGAGCTGCGTCTGAGTTGTCGCAGAGTTGACTTAACAATCCGCACTCGTCCTCCCCTCTCCTGGAGCACAGGTGGCTTCATAAACACCAGGCCAGGCGAGCGAGGAGGGAGCGGAGGTAAGCGGCGCACCCTGGGTAGGGGAGGAGCGCGCGGTCCATTAAGGGGCGCCTGAGAGCAGGAGTTAATGGTCCCCCCAGGCCGGGAGTTAATTCGGCCTTGAAAATAGTTCTCGAAAGCCGTTTGCCCACAACTTCGGCCCAGCCATGTGCTCGCCGGGCGCATGTCCGCCCACCCACCGCCCTCTTGGGCTGCCTCTCTCCAAGATGCTGGCCCAGGAAGGCGCTGACCTAGCCCTGGGCTTCTCGAAGTGGGGAACATACTCCTGTGTCCACCGCAAGGCTGGGACTAAGGGGAGGCGACTGAGGCACCGGCCTCTGGCCCAAAATTTAAGGGGCCGCCAAAGAACTCAGTAATCAAGATAAAATATTTACTGTAGGGGCTGGCCCCGTGGCCGAGTGGTTAAGTTCGCGCGCTCCGCTGCAGGCGGCCCAGTGCTTCGTTGGTTCGAATCCTGGGCGCGGACATGGCACTGCTCATCAAACCACGCTGAGGCAGCGTCCCACATCCCACAACTAGAAGGACCCACAACGAAGAATACACAACTATGTACCGGGGGCTTTGGGGAGAAAAAGGAGAAAAATTTTAAAAAATCATTAGAAAAAAAAATTTAATGTAATATTTTTTCAAAAATTAAGATTAATAAAAACCTCCATGATGAACAAATATCAACATTTACAATAAAGACAGGGATCTTATCCTCACTCAGCCGACTCCAACCCTCACTAGAATAAGCTTGACCCCCATTCACGTGACCTTGACCCTCACTCATATGACCTTGACCCTCACCACATGACCTTGGCCCTCACTTGTGTGATTTCCGTGCTCATTCATCTTGCTATAGCCCCAGTCCTGACGCAAGATGATTTTTGGTGGTTCTATGTGAACATTTTAAATCTCAACACTTAGCTGCTTTTTTTAATTATGGCAGGCGATCCCAGCTTTCCATTCATGGCAGGGAGATGACATTTTTCTTTCAAAATACATTAATTTCAATAAATAAAGAACCAAGTCCATTTAAAGAAATTTCGTGGGTAAATAAGGGCACAGGTGGTCTGTGGATGTCGCCAAGACCCTGGCGGTGGGATCTTGGGCAGAGGCTCCAGCGGGGACCCCCTGAGGGCGGGGCCAGGCCAACCTTCTCTTCTGCTCCTGCTTGTATGAAGGCGACTTCTGATTAAAGCAGGTCCCAAGCAGGACTTCTCAGGAGTGTGGGCTTGACAGCGCCTGAACCTCTCTGAGCCCCAAGCGCCTTACCTCTAAAACAGAGCCCACAATCCTGCCCCAGAGGCCGGGAGGTTTCCGGGTGACGGTTATAATGTGCCGAGCGGGCATGAGCAGGGCCATATCGTGACTTTCATGGCCCCTTTCCCCATAAAAAATGCTAAAAGTTATATTTTATGACCGCAGGGGTATAAAGAGGAATACAATCCAGCCTCGATTATATTCACCGTTACACCAATGCAGTCAAAGTGTGCATCTTGCTAATTGCAAGAAGTAGAATACTTTTGTGGGCTCCTAAAAGTACCGTGGCCGCAAGCTCTGTGCTTGCTGTGCCTAATGGAGAGGCCGGCTCTGGGCACCAGGGGCAAGCACTTCATCTTTTAATCTCCACAATGCCATAAGGCGGGTGGTATGAGCTCCATTTTATAGATGACAAAGAGAAGGCCCAGAGAGGTTCAGCAAGTTGCTTAAGGTCACACCGCCAGTGAGTAGCAGGGCAGAGATTTGAACCCAGATCCTCCTGCTTCTGGAGTCACCCTCCTGCCATGCCCCAGGAAGTGAGATAAGCTGGAGAGCTCCCTGAGTGATGGAAACTGTGATTATGTTCAGGGCCCTTCCAGGCCCACAAGGTGAAAGCGATCAGCAGGAGGCCCTGGTGTCCTAGCCTCTTGGTCGCCTGCCAATTTGGGCGGGGGCCTGGGTGACACGCTCAGGCTGGTTGTTTGCGAGTCTCTGGGCATTTAAGTGGCCACCCCGAAGCAGCAAGATGTCCTCAGAGCCTCGGAGACACCGAGGACCAGATTCCAGGAAAGCAGGTTGCTATTTGCCTCGTGCTTGTGGAAAAGGACAAAGAAAAAGAGGGATAAAGAACTTTGGACATAGACCAAAGCCATCCGGGTTCTTCGCTGCGTGTCCCCACGCGGGCTCCTCGATGAGGAAGGCCTGACCGTGTCACCTGAACCAGGGGTCAGAGCCATTCCATTTCCACGCACACGACACTGCAATTTCCAACAATTGTGGTCGAGACGAGGATCCTCTCGGGGAGGGAAAATCCAAGCGAGTTTGCAGTTTCCAGCTTTGGCGTTTCTTGAATTATACATGGGCAAACCCCCTGGAAGGCTGCTTTGTAAGCCGTGAGGGGAAGGCGTGTAATTTTGGTCTCTGGCATTCTGCTGGAACACTTGAAGACGAGGCCCTCCCCAGCAAGTGGCATTCTCCTCCAAACCAAACGGCACATTTGATGCCTCTGATGGCTTCAGGCTGCCAGCAGAAAGGATGCCGTGGGGACGGGTCCCTCCTCTCTCTGCCACAGTCTTATCTCCTTAGGGCTTCTGTCCCTCGGAGGCCCTCACCTTGCGGTGGAAGCTGTGACCCAGGCCACAGTGACATTCTCCCCCGTTTTTGGCTGGCAAGAGGAGAAAGTGCTATCTCTGTGCAGAAAGGGAGGCAGGGACTAGAAAAGTGGACTAGCCCGGGGCCTGGAGGGGCCGCTCTGGTGTGGACAGCCACGCCACATCTCAGCCTCTCGGGGGAGATGGCAGCTCCAGGTCCAGACGGCCCCAGTGCCACCCAAGGTCCAGAGGGGACAGTGCCATTTCTGGCTTCTGTAATGAGGCAGACTGTCTCCAGTGGTCTGCAAAATGCTACCCATAAGAAGGGGCTCCTCGGCACTCTTCCCTCCCTGGGATTTGCCCGAGGACTGTGGGTGAGGGCATTCGAAGGCTCTGAGTTGGCTGGGGTCCTCTGGGTCAGTGGGGGCTCAGGGTGTGGGACCTGGTGACACTGATGTGTTGGAATAGCATTTTGTAACTTATTAGCTGTGTGACCCTGAGACAGTTACCGCAACCGTCAGTTTCCCTGTCTGCAGAATGGGCTGATTACCTACTTCAGAGGGTTGCTGTGAAAATGAAATGCATGCTGAGCCCGATCAACCGGGCGGATTTGAAGCCCTCAGAAACTGGTAGCTAGCCTGATGATTCGCATCTTAGATAAAGAGATGACAAATGGTCTTAGTTCCCGCTGGTAACTCAGAGGGAGTGTGCGTGTGCATGTACACCTGGGTGAGTGTGCGCCCTGAATGTGAATGTGTGCGTGCATGTGTGAGCACGCATGCATGAGTGTGCCCCTGAGTGTGAATGTGCGTGTGCACGCACACACTCCAGAGGTCAAGAGAGGAGCATTCTCTGCCCTCGACGTGGGAACCTGAGAAGGGCAAATACTTCATTATTTAGATTCAACAGCTACTCATTAGGCGAGACCGGAGCACTTAGAAAGAAAAGCTGACCTACAAGTGTAAAATGTTATTATAAGTAATGACAATGATTATAGGATGAGGGTGTGAGCGGAGAGGGGAAGCCAAGAGGTTAATGTCCGTTAACGACCACGAATTAGGAGCGGGAACTTCTGCAGAAATGGACGGTCTGTTTATCTACCTCACGGGGAGCTCTTAGCACATCAAAAAGGTATTTAAAACACAACCCCCCAACAATTAGCTTTAGGAAGAAGAGTAAATATGGATGCAATTTATCACCCGAGAGCCGGGCTATCAGAGACCAACGCGTCAGTTAAATAAAACAGACCCCGAGACCCGCCAGCAGGATTGACCCCGAAGGAATTCGCCAATTTGCTCATCAGCGATGGGAGGTAGGGTTTTGGTGACACACGAACAGTTGGTATCTTTCTGCTAATCCTTATAACCTGAGTCCCACATTCCTTTTTGCATCCAGTGGGGGAGGGTGACTCAGGAATGGGTTGAGTTGATTTCGCCGGCTTTGTGCATCTTTAATTTCAAAAGATGAGAGAAGGAAGTTGGACACTGAGAAAGCCGCGGGGTTGGGACTTGATTGCAGGCGTGCCAGGCATCCCAGTTTGCCGGGTTCTGAGGGGTTTCAGTCTACAGCTGGGACAGTCCCAGGCAAACAGGGATGGTCGGTCTCCCAGCTTAGGTCCCTCCCCCAGGGCCCCAAGAGCGAGCGTCAGTCAATCCCCATTGGGAGCAGGAGTGGGTAGAAGCTGGCTTGTGGCTTGCCTTTAAGAAATCCTACCTCCCCCCATATGGCCAAACAGCCTGTGAACCCATTAGCAGCAGGAATGTGGTGTCACGTGGGACCCGCGCAGGAGCCGCAGAAACCGAGAGAAACGTCCAGAGAGACCTCGACAGGCGATCGCATGGGGGCTGAAAGCTGATCAGCGCAGGCTGCTGGTAACTTCCCCGACAAGCCTTGATGGAAAACTGCGGAGCCCCGAGACGCTGCGGGTTCCAGAACCTCGGCCCTCCTCCGTCTGCATCCCAGCGCGTTCTAGCACCCGGGTGACAACGCATCCTACTGTCTGTACTCGAAAGTCACGTCGTTCCACCACTGCAGCCGTCTGCCCGGCTGCCGAGAGCTCGTATATAAATATCCGTGCGTGTGCGTTTGTGTGTACATTTCTTGACATATTTACGGAGTCTCCGCTTGCCAACCTTGGGGGCATAATGCAGGAACCATCTTTCATCCTAATCTGCTGTAATGACATGTTTTATTATACTATTTCAGCTGTTTCCATTGCCTTCGCTGTTTCATGTTTTATGTATTTTAACTAATGCTTTAATTTTAGGACGTTGTGCCTTAAGGAGATTTCACAAAGGCTGACTTTGGAAAATCGACGGGATTCCCGGCGACGGGGACTGGAGGCTGTGCCCCCACACAGCACGGCCCAGAGGAACGAGGGTCCCAAGGGAGTGCCGGAAGGCGGGCCGAGGAGGCTGATGGCTTTGGGCCTGGTGCTCGCGGCACCAAGATGTGGGGACCCTGGGTTTGCTCAGGGGTTTTGCCCCATTTTAGCTCTGGATGTCGGGCATCCCAGAACCCCTTCCCTTCTGGACAAAGCAGGGTCGTTGGTCACCTCCCAAGATGACGGGCCTGACACTTGGATGGGCTGGTTCTCAGGAGGTGGGGGGGTCTCAGAAAGAGCTTAGGGTTCGGAACGCCCTCTTCTTAGTTTCAAATCCAGGCTCTGCTGATGCTATAATAGTCGTTTGAATCTGAGGAGGTCACTGAAACCCTCACTATGCCTCAGTTTCCTCACCTGGAAAATGGAACTGCCATAGGGATAGAGGAAGCCAGGTGTGCTTGGCACAGAGTCACCCCGTTGCCCACCCCAACAATGAGGGAGTGGCATGGACGCTTTTGAGGAGCACCGTGTCCACGTCCTAATGGTAATGATGATTGTAACTGCTTCTGTTCCTGAAGCGCTTCCTGGGTGCCAGGCAAGCCCTGAGTTGAGCATAGCCCTTTATCGCCCCATTTAATCCCCCAGCAGGACACCTGCTGGGTGGAAGAGATTGTAACCCCTATCTTGCAGAGGAGGAAATGGAGACTCAGAGAGGGAAAGACATTTACCCAAGACCACACAGCAAGCGAATGTTCGAGGGGGCATTCGGGACCACATCCGTGCGACGCCAGTGTCCATGCTTTTTACCACAATCCCCTGCAGCCTCCTGGAAGGAGTGGAGAATTACTAGGGACTCAGGCTTTGGCGACACCTGGAGAGGGACCAGCAGGGGACAGAGCTGAGATGCCCTCTGGTTGTTGGGCCTCGAGCACCGCCTCCAGCCTGCAACAATCCTTTCTTTTCTGACCCAAGGCATGAGATGGGGAGAGGCCTGACCTTTGACACCTGTCCTTTCCTTCCCCTTTCTCTCCTACACCCCACTCCATACTTACAGCCCCTCCCCCCCGGACCCTCCTGCCTCTGTGTCTATGCACATGCTGCTTCCCTGAGTGAGAATGTCGTTTCTTTCCCTTTATGCTTCTCCCTTCCTCTCTCTGAAAACTCCTATTCACCCTGCAAAGCCCAGATCCTCAGGCCCTTGTCCCCTTAGATTCCCACTAGTGGCTTATTTGCTGACTTAACTGTTGCATTGGCCCAGTGCCTGACGTGAAATGATGGAAAATTGGTAGAAGTCTGTTGGTCAGAAAAATCTCAGCTGTCTTGCTCACCCTACCTGGATGAAAGACTGCCAACGTGTTTCAGACCCCGGCCATGTGCTAACACACACCACCATGTTTACTTCTCCCGGAACCCCAGGAGGTGAGCATCATCATTCCTATTTTCTAGATCGTGGGTAAGCAGGCTACAGCCCATGGGCCAGCTGCCTGTTTTTGTAAACACAGTTATATTGGCCACAGCTATGCTCGTTCATTTATATATGATGACAGCTGCCTTCGTGCTACAGCAACAGAGCTGAACAGTTGCTCCAGAGACCGTGTGATCTGCACAGGTATTTACCATCTGACCCTTTGCAGAAAAAGTGTGCCAACCCCTATAAATCAAGATGAAGACCTGAGGCTCAGAGAGGCTTAGCAACTGGCCCCAGTTAACTCAGCGAGCCAGGGACAGCCCTGGGGTTCAAACCTGGAACCCCAGACTTCAAAATTGGTGCTCTTTCTATGCCTCAAACGCCATCCTTGCTTTCTTCCAAGTCCCCTTCCAGGGGCGTTCCCCAGTGCTCTGCATCAGACCACAGAGGGGGTCCCTCCCACCTGGCCTGGGGGCCAAGTGCAGCAGTGGGCTGCGGAGCCAGCCGGGCACAGGCGCGGGCACTTAAGACACACTGGGACACAGAGGAAAGGGAGCGGGCTGGGGAAGGTTTTTGTTTTAAATAATGAAAATAGCATTTGATAAGGAATCTCATCTCGCCTACCCATCTCATTTTCCAGTGGTGCAAGCGGGTCAATTCTTGCTGAAGTGCTTGCTGTTTCCAGGTTCAGAGGGGCCATCTCCAGGACATGTGCAAGGGGCAGGCCCTCTCTGGGTGCTGAGACAGCCCCTCATTGCAGGAGACAAAACTTCCCACGCCGGCCCCCGCCCCCAGCCTGCACCCACCTGCCCCTGTTTTGGCCCCCGCTTCCCTCTCCGCAGCATCTCCAGTGGGCTGCTTCCCCTCCCAGCCCTGGGAGCTTTATTTCCAACTGAGATACAATTACAGATCGTGTTCCTTTCCCCCCTTTTTCTTTTTAATAAAGCTGTTTTGTGTCCCCACCCCCCCTTTGCATTCCTCCCATCTTAGTCCTTCCTTTCCCCTCTCCTGTAGGAAATGTCTCGGATTCTCTCGCTGGGGTGTAATGGTTAAATTGCTACCAGCTGATTAAACAGCAGAAGTCCAGCATGTAATCCTCAGCGTTCAGGAACCGGGGAGGCAGAGACAGGGCCCTGGCCTTCTTCGCCCCTGCTGACCCCCCTGCGATGTGCCTGCCCTGGTTTCACTTCTTTCATTTGTCCCGGGCTGCATAGAATCCTCCGGGATGGGGCGAGGGGAGGGGAAGGAGGGGAAAGGAGCGGGGAGGAGAGGGAGGGGAGGATGCCTCCACGGGCTCTGGCCCAACCTCCAAGGAATGTCTGTTCCCACCCCGTCCCTTCCCAGCCCCCCTGTAAAACCACATACTCACAGCCATGCTCACACACTCACATATGCATAAACATACAGGCTCTCACACACACAGCCCGTCACACACATTCACACGCCCAGGCTCTTTCTCGTCCTCTGCGGAATGAAGACCAGATGAAGGAGGCAGCCGGTCCGCCCTGCCCCCTCTCCTGGGAAACCTTCCCACACCTGCCCCCACACCGGGAAGGATGGGGAGGTAGGGAAGTGGGAGATGGGTCTGGGAAGAGGGGACATCGAGGGCTTTCGGGTTGGGCAGCGGGAGGTTTGACTCTGGCTCTGACGGCTGTGGGATCACAGAGTCAGGACTGTCCTTCTCCGAGCTTCTCTGAGCCCTATTTGCAACTGGGGGCAACAGCCTCTCAAAGCGGGCCACAAGGGCAAGTGAGCTAATGTGCAAGACTGTGCCCAGCCCGGCACAAAGCGTGTGTTAGTGCACACCGGCCGCGAGGAGGGCTGGGGTGCAGGGCGATTGCCGTAACCTTCAAACACGGGCCCCCTAAAAGCTGGGTGCCCCGGGCTCCTTACTGTACACCTCTGACCCTCAGCTCTTCCTCTGCAAACTGCCATCCTCATGCTTCCCAACGGGCCTGTGACGACCACATGCCACCCCACACATGCCAGGCTCCATGAACGGTTTCTCTCCCGTTCTGATGGACGTTGCTGTCGACCCAGGTCACGGAGAAAGAATAGCAAGGGCCAGGGAGCCTCCTTGGGAAAGTTTATTTCCATGGAAAGCACAGTTCAGAGGAGTGGAGAATCTGGCCTTGAGTCATCCTCCCCCGCTTACTCAGAAGCCAGAGAGGAGAGCCTGTGGGTGAAGGGGGACTGGCTGCAGGCACAGGGGACGGTCATCGCTCCTCCAACTGCTCTTGGAAGCAACCTTCCTCTTTCCTTGGGGAAAGAGCCTCGGCATGAGTCACGGTTCTCCGCAGAAACAGAACTATCCGTCCGTGTCCATAGAGAGAGTGCTCTCTCTATAGTTACATCTGTATCGATGCCAGTTCTATAGATAGATAGATATGATACAGACATCACATAGATTATATGATATATAGCTATATACATGATAGATATGATTAGATACAGATATTATATACATATCACATATACTTATATCTATCTCTGTCATCTATCTATCTTCTATCTATCTTCTGTCTTTCTATCTATTGAGGAGAAGAAGAAGAGAGAGAAAGAGATTTATTATAAGAAATTGGCTCACGCAATTACGGAGGCTGAGAAGTCCCATGACCTGCTTTCCGCGAGCTGGGGACCCAGGAGAGCCGGTGGGGTGAGTGCCAGGCCGAAGGCAGGAGAAGACTGACGTCCCGGCTTGGAGGCAGTCAGGCAGAGAGCGAATTCTCCCTTCATCCTCTGTTTGGTTCTATTTGGGCCCTCAAGGGATCGGATGATGCCCACTTGCCCTGGGGAGGGCCATCTGCTTTCCTCTGTCTACCCATTCAAATACTAAGCTCACCCTTAGACACCCTCACAGACACACACAGAAATAATGTTTCACAGAATATCTGGGCAGCCTGTGGCCCTGTCACGTTGCCACATCAATTAAACATCACAGTGTCCCCCCCAAATTCATGTCCACCCAGAACCTCAGAATGTGACCTTATATGGAAGTAGGGTCTTTGCAGATATAAAGTAGAACCGAGATGCGAGCTTACTGGATTAAGGCGGGCCCCACATGCAATGAGAGTGTCCTCATAAGAGACAGAAAGGACACAGACACACAGGGAGAAGCCCAAGCGAGCACAGAGGCAAAGGCTGCAATGATGCTCCACAAGCCAAGGAATGCCTGGGACCACCAGGAGCTGGGAGGCAAGGCAGGACCCTCCCCTCGAGCCTTCAGTGGGAGCGTGGCCCTGCTGAGGCCTTGATTTTGAACTTCTGGCCTCCAGAACTGGGAGAGAAAAAATTTCTGTTTCCAGTCACCTAGTCCGTGGTACTTTGTTAGAGCAGCCACAATACCATACAAACTAACGCACCCTGCAAAGCATGCATCGTTGGTCCCATTTTATGGATGGGGAAACTGAGGCACAGAGAGGGGAAAGTCCTTTGTCCAAAATCACACAGCTGGTTGGAAGTGAAGACAGGATTCAAAGCCAGGTCTGTCTAACTCCAATGCCTGGAGCCTGTATATTTTGTACCATGCTTGCCTCACCCTCATCCTGGCCGCCCCCAGGCATGACAGAGGAACAGAGGGGATTCCGGGCCCCTGGCAGCAAGTGGGCTGTGGAGCCACACAGATCTGGATTTAAATCCTGGCTTTGGCCACTAACTAGCTGAATGACCGTGGGCAGGTCTGCTCCCTTATTTGAGCTCGGTTTTCTCTTCTGTAAAATGGGGATAAAAGAATGAAACTTACCTCATAGGCTGTTGTGGGGATGAAATGAGAGTCTGCACAGAAAGTGCCCAGCACTCTGTAATGTCATCTATTGTTATCAGTTTTTGCAGCTCAGAAAGAGGAAGTTAGGGGGTTAGCAATGTGAGCAATGGCTGCATCTGGAGCAGGTCAAAGGTGGCCAGCCAAGTTGACGAGCCGGTTGGGGATATCTTCAGAGTTAACAGTAACTGGTAATTTCTTGTTTAAGAAAAACCCAGGCTTGGACTGGGGAAGGGCGAGGCAGGGATGCGAGGCCACAGCGCCTGCGCACAGCTGTTTAGTAATCTGCATCCCTTTGCAGGGGGCCACACTCACAAGTCTCTTTCTCCTGTCTGGGCAGGAGCTGTGAAGTTCCTGTGGGCACCCCAGGTCTCCTGGTGGAGGAGCACTGGAGACAGAGTCTGGACTCCCCCAGAGTCAGCTCCTAGGTCATGAACTGGTCACCTCCCAGGTCCTGTGGTTTCTGTCTGAGCCAGAGAGGACGTTGAGCTGGGTCTTTGGCGATAAGGGGAGGTTGGGTTGAGCAACTGAATCTGTTCCTTATCCAGGCGACAGATCTTTTCTAAAGTTTAGCTCTGGTCTGATCCTCTGCCCGCGGCGGAGGTTCCTGTCCCCTCCCCATGAGTTCACAGTTCTCCGGGCTGACGGAGGTGTCTGCGAGGCCCCACAACTACCGCCCACCGCGTGAACAGTGCCTCCCGTCAGCTTACCTGCTTTTACCTTTTACCATCAGTGATGTGTCCTCCAGACCCTTGTTCTCACTCCAAGAGAGCGGGACCTACATCCAAGGCCAGGGGCAGGCTCAGAGGGCCTATTTGGGATTCTTATTTTTTAAGGGCAGTTCTGCCCATCTGCTCAAGGCAATGCTCTCCCACACTGCAGCCCCTGCCTGCTTCCTCGTGCCCAGCTTGATCCCAGCTCCTTAATCTGCCCCTCCGCCAGGCTCCTTGTGTGCCGCTCACACTTCTCCATTAGCACAATTATCACATTAATAACGAGAGCATCTACCATTTATTGAGCTGTTACTATGTGCCAGGCTCTGTGCTAAAAGCTTTCCCACCTTATCTCATTTAGATCCGGCAATAACTGAAGGGAAGAGGATTACATTACGAATGAGCGTAAAATGATTATTTTACTCAAGAGGGTTATTTCACAAAGAGGGTGAGCCGCTCACCCGTCTGGAGAAACAGGGTTTGAAAACAAGTCTGTTCAGCTTCACCGCCCGGGCCCTGAACTTCGCAATAAGCTATTCTGTGCTTTAGTTACCTGCAGACTTGTCCCCCTTCTCTCAACCTTGGGTCGCCATGTCCCCTAGGGTATAGGATTTGAGAGAGCAGGGAGGCACAGCCATTATTTTCAAAAAGAAATTATATAAACTTACAATTAAATAAATTATATTAAAAGCAAAGAAAATAAGTACTCAAAATTCTTCATTTCTTAATCCATTCACCACATTTTTCTATTACCTGTGCTCTTGAGATTAGATATGTCTCTTGTGTCCGTGTGGTGAAAATACCCTATAATACATCGCCTCCCAGCTCTGTGTTGAGTGACCTCGCCTTGGCAGTTTGAAATTGTTCGTGGCGGGAGTATTGACACCGTGGTAATTGGCAAATGCTACTAATCAGGGTTTTCCCCTAAAGAGCCAATTATTAAACAGTTACCTGTACACTGCTGATCACGACATTTGTGGTAGGTCTTACAATTCCCTTTGAGAAATGAAGCAGTTGAGGCTCAGGAAGGCTGAGTGATTTTTCCAAGTCAACTGCTAGGAAGTGGGGGTGCGGAGGGGGCGGGATTTGATCCTACTTCGTGCCAATTCCCCTGCTCTGATACACCTTCACATCTGCTGAAGACAGAAGAAAAATCCAGAAGCTCGCTCCTTCCCAACCCCCTGGAGCCCTAGCCGCTGCCCGTGTTTGGTGAGTAGAAGCTGAAGGCGGTCGGAGACTCCAGCCACGCAGAAGGCCTCCGATTCAGAGAGGCGAGTGGTAGATTAAATCCTTGACCTGGGAAGGACAGAGAGTAAGACAAAAAAAAAAAAAACAAGTTCAAGTTTTACACGGACTGAATTCTCATTGCACGCACTTGAGCATTCACGAGCTGGGGCTAAGTTGACCAATTAAAAGTAATTTCGTCTCTAGCACCTCTTTGAGGGTTTTTAAAGAAGACTTAAAAATTAATCTTTCATTTATCCCAAGAATGAAAAAACATTCCCGCCTCCCCCTCAAATCGGGCTACTCTTTTCAAAATGATGCGGTGCGCTCTTCAATTAACCTTACTGACCACAGACCGGAGCTGCAGCTCTTCCGAACTCTGTGGACCGAGCGCAATTTGTTGCTTCTTTCATTTACACGTGTCTTTTTACGTAGATTCAAAGTCCCTCTTGTGAAAGAACCGTGAGCTCAGCAAATATCAGAAAAGCCCGAAACTCACGGATTGGTAAATATTGTTGGCTCAGTCTTTGGGAGGGCAGAGAACCCAGCTTCGTGCCCTGGAGGGACGTGATCCTCGCTCCTAGGAATCTTATGATCTTGTTGGGGTTTTGAAGACAAGCATATACTCAATGGTTAAAAAACAGAGAGAAAATGCAGTTACAAAACAAGTCTGGAGGGCCATGGGACAACGATTATTGGAGCGATGCAAGCTAAATAGCACTTAGAAATTGTTTTTATAAACTTTCGTACTAGCAAAGTTGAGAGAAAAATAAAACCCCGATAGAGTTCAGTGCTGGTGAGAATTTGGTAAGTCAGCTGTCTTTCATTCAGGGTAAATAGTACAACCTTATAGAAACAAACCAGGTAGCTAATGCCTATTCCAATCTTGGTGTTCGCTACAAATTTCCTTAGTTGCTGTGTGGAGGCCTTTGCTGTTTGGCCATCTGGGAGGCATTCTCCTTTCTTCCGGTAAAAGCATTCCAATCTTCCTTGGAGGAAGTGCCCCCTCCACTCTCCGTCCATGTAGTTCAGGAGGAGTTGATCTCACTTCTGGCTTGTATGGGTGTGTGGTAGACAGACTTCCAAGATGGCCCCCGTGAGCCTTGTCTTTTGGTGTCCACATCCTTGAATAATCCCCTCCTTCTGTGTGTGGGCTGAACCTAAGAACTGACTTCTAAAAAACAGAATACAGCAAAAGTAATGGGACGCCATGTCTATGATTAAGTTACAAAAGATTGTGATTTCTGTCTTGCTAGTAGACTCTATTCCCCTCACAGGTCACATGCTTTGATGAAGTAAGTTGCCATGTGGGAGGACCCACGGGCAAGGAGCCAAGGGCAACCTCCAGCCAAGGCAATAGCCAGTGAGAATCTGAGGCCAACAGTCCAACCCCCTGTGAGGAACTGAATCCTGCCAACAACCACTGAGTAAGCTTGGAAGTGGATCCTTTCCCGGTCGAGACTTCAGATGAGACTGCAAACCCAGGGCTAACACCTTCATAGCAGCCTTGTGAAGCAGAGGATGCTGCTAAGCTGTGCCTGGATTCCTGGCCCACAGAAATGATGAGATCATAAATGTGAGTTGTTTTAACCTGCTAAGTTTGGGGGTAATTTGTTACATAGTAATAGCTAACTAATACAGGGTGGACATGTGACCCAGGTATGACCAATCAGAGCATTGCATCCCTCAATGATTAGCTCAGGGATGTACATGTGATTCAATCAGAGCCAAACAGAGCTAATCCTGGGACTTTCGTAAGATCAGAACGTGGAGAGATGCTCTATCCATTGGTCTGGACTTGGGAGATGCCAAAGGCTGCCTTGTGAAGAGGATCTATCTGAAAATGCAACAATGCGGCACCATGAGATAGAGACTGCAAGCCCTAATGACAATGTTTGAGCCCCTGGATCCAGCCTTGCCTAAAACTTTACCTATGAAACTTTTAGTTCCATAATCTAATAAATACTGTTTACTACTTAAGTCATTTTGTGTTGGGTTTCTGTTATTTATTAAAGCCTGTTTTAATCATTTGGTTGAAAGATATTCATTGAGGTTTTACGTGTGCCGAGGGCTCTGGGGGTATACAAGGATTAGAATTAGTTTTTGAACCTGGTCTCAGGGGACTATGGTTCCTTAAGGCCAGAAACTACATCTATAATTATAACATCCTCTTGAAAACATAAGATCCTCAATTTCGGGAGCACCATTCTTTGTTCATGTTTGTGCTCTCAGCATCCAACACATTGTAGGTGCTCAAATAAATACTTATTGATCCTAAAAGTACACAGCAGATGCTCTAGAAGTGCAGAGAGAGGGGAAATCACTTTCGAGGGGGTTGGGAGAAGCTTCATGAAGGAGAAGAAACTTGAGCCACTGAGTTTGAAAGGATGCATTGGATAGACTTTGCAGGGATGGGGGAGGGAAGATTCCAGGCAAAAGAAGCAGCACTGAGCCTGGAAGAGTATGATGTATATGGGCCAGGTTGGCTGGACTCTAGGGCGGATGAAGCTTACTATGGGAAATGAGGCTGGGAAGGCAGGATGGGACCAGACGGGAGATATTTTTGAGTGACAGGTGTATTAGCTATCTAGTGCTGTGTAACAAATTACCCCCAGACTTAGTGGTTTGTTATCTCACAATTTCCGTGAGTCAGTTGTTCAGGAGCAGCCTGGTTGGGTGGTTCTGACTCAGGTTCTCTCGGGAGGTTGCAGCCATGATGTCATCTGAAGGCTAGACTGGGGCTGGAGGATGTCTTCCACGATGGCTCACTCGCATGCCTGGCATATTGGTGCTGGCTGTTGGCAGGAGTCTCAGTTCCACACCACGTGGACCAGCCTTGGAAGTCATATCCTGTCATTTCTGCAATATGCCATTGATTATGCAGCTTGGCACTTTTCAATGTGGGAAAGGACTAGAGAAGTATCCACAGAGGGGCTGTGACTACCAGGTGGCAGGGATCATTGGAGACCATCTTGGAGGCTGGCTGTCACTCGCAATAATTAGTTAGCTATTTGACTGCACGTCACAGAAAACCCCACTGATAGTGGCTTAAGTTATATGAATTTTCATTATTTATTCAACAAGGAGTCAAGGGGCACATGGTCCCATTACTGTCAGGGCTGAACAATGTCATCAGGGACCCCAGGCCATCTCCACATTTTTACTCTGCCAACCTCAGAGTACTGACAATATCTGTTCTCATGGTTGCAAGAAAGCTGCCACAACACCAGGCATCACATCCTCTCACGATAATGTCAAATGCAGGTTGGGAAACAAAGGAGAAGAAGGAAAGAGAAGTGGTATTCTCATGCAATTCTTTTTCCCTTGGGAGAGAAAGTATTTCCCAGACTCTATCCCCCAACCTCCCAATGCCCCGGAAGAATCCTCTTACATCTATTTGACCAGAACTAGGTCACCTACCCAGCCCTTAGACCAATCACTGGTAAAGAGGAACAACACTGCCTTTTTTTTTTTTTTCAATTTAGACATGACCCATTTGCTGGGCCTTGACAGACCGCCCTCCCGAACAACATTAGGGGAATTTATCAAGAAAAAAGAAGGGGTCATTGGGTGAGTGACCACAACCACAGCAATGAATATCTTAGGTCATCTTTTCTGGACGCTTACAACCCACCAGGCTCTGGACTAAGCCTTGACAAGCGTTCTGTCATCAATCTTTGCGGCCGCCCTATGAGGTGAGATGGATCTACTAGGTACCCACATGTTATGGGGTGAATTATGTCCTCCCCAAATTCTTATGGAGAAGTCTTAGTCCCCAGCACCTCGAAATGTGACCTTGGTTGGAAACAGGGTCATTGCAGATGTGATGGGTTAAGATGAGGTCATTGGGGTGGCCCCAATCTAATATGACTGGTGTCCCTATAAAAAGAGAATTAGGACACAGACACAGACATGCATAGACGGAAGAAGGTGGAAAGAGCTACAGGGAGAAGACAGCCATCCACAAACTAAGGAGAGAGGCCCAGGACAGCTCCCTCCATCCACAGCCCTCAGAAGGCAGCCGCCCAGTGACGCTTTGATTTCCAACTTCCGGGCTCTGGAACTGTGACACAGGAGATGTCAGTGGTTTAAGCCGCCCCGTTTGTGGTGCATAGTTATTCCAACCCGGGTCTCTCTGACCCCAAAGCCCTTGCTCTTCACCACGACTCTAAAAAGGATTGTATCCTGCAGGCAGTAGGGAGCTAGAGAAGGTTTGAGCGAGAGAGTAAAGCCATCTGAGCCATGTTTCAGGGGGAACGTCATCATTTCAGAGATCAAAAAGTCCCTCTTGGTGTCTGTCGTCGATCTCTTTTATCTCAGCCTCACTGCCTCCAGCTCGGTTTCCAGGAGACAGGCAGAACCTCTCCTAGAGGGCTCCTCATAAAACCCCCGTGTAGACAGAAGTAGATAATCAAGTCCCTTCCTTTCTAAGACCTGTGGTCTCAGTCTTTGATCTTTCCTCCCTCGCCCTGAAGCTTCCCCAGCCACTGAAGGCGGTGTGAGAACGGCCAGGTGAGGGCAAGCGTAGCAGGCACTCAGCACAGAGCCAGCGGGATCAGGAAGGAGCTCTGGCTGGAGGCGAGGCGGCCTGGGGCTCCGGCCTGACCCTGCCGTGCACGATGCGGCCGTGTGAGCCCTGGACCCCCGTCCACCCCATACAGTGGGGGGCTGATGATGCCGTCTCCAAGCTCCCTCCTCTGGTCCTGATGTCCAAAGCCACCTGATGGCTCGGAGCTCTACTTCCCCACTTGAAAAGGTCAAATGTGTACACCGGGGCTACTTTTTCAGTTAAAAAGAAAGAGAGAGGGAGAGCGGGCGAGCGAGAGAGTAAGAAGCCGGCTCTCACATCTTGAGTCATCACCGAGCTCCTCCCCCTCCCTCCGCCCTTCCTGCGGCCTCTTCCCTCTCCCCTCTCTGTTCAGTTTGCAAGGCTGTTATTCCTGCCAAATGAGTCACTGATGTGGGAAGGTTAATTTATCTTGGCAGACTTCACCCTTGCTCCGAGAAATGGAAACTGCACCTCCTGCCTCGGAAGCCCAAGCGACTGTGATGTTCATTCGTTCCTCCCTGCATTCATTCATTCATTCTCAGAGCATGTGGTTGCTTCCTTCGCATTCACACGTGGGCAACCTCACCTACCGTTTTCTGTCTCCGGGAGATGTGAGGTGTAATTGAGGTAATCTATGTAAAAAATGCTTATATAAAAATAGAAGAAGCATAATAGCTAATCCTCACTAAGCACTTACTATGTGGCGAGCCGCACAGTCAGCTTTTTATCTGCTGTCTTTATTGTCTTAATCCTAACGCTGCTCTCTGGGGCACCACGATTGTTATTTTCATTTTAGGGATTCAGAGACTGAAGCTCAGAGGGGTCAAGGTGACCTGGCCACGGTCATTACGTACCCGTAAGTGGCAGAGGGAAGTCAAGCCCAGCTTCCTCTTATCGTGACCCACATTTATAAGGTGTTGACCACACAGCGGGCTCTGGAGTTAGAACCTGTTTCTCCTCTCCCGTCTCACTTGTTCTTCACACGAACCTGTGACGCAGAGACTGAGATTAGCATCTCTGTTTTCCAGCTGAGCAAACTGAGGTTTGGAGAAGCGAGGCAGCTTGCCCGAGGCGGCACGGCTGTCACACGGAAGAGCAGAGCGGACAGCAGGCGGTCTGGGCGCAGAAGGCGCTCCGTCTTCACTGTGGGCAGACAGCCTGGCCCTGAGCATGCGGGTGCCCCGTTCTTGTCACTCACACTCACCATCACACATGCATGCTCCTTCTGGTGTCCTCACATGGTCCCGGCACATAGATCCTGTGACACAGACAATGCTGTGCATTCACCAAACCCCATGTCCTCGTTCTCTGAGACACACAGATGACCCTGGCACTTAGGTGGGTTGACGTCACTGAATTCTGACCAATGGAACATGGGAGTAAGTGATGAAGGTCACTTCCGGGCCTGGCCCTGAAGAAAGCCCATGATCCTCGATCTGCAGACCAGATGCAGAGGACCCCGTGGAAGAATCTGGGACCCTAGGGGATGGTGGAACCACGAAATGGAAGCTGTCTGAGTCCCTGAGTGATACATGGAGCCAAGCTCTTTCCAAGCTCCCAAGTGAACTGTGACGTGGACCTCAACCTTTATAGGGGTACTACTGAGGTGGGGCTGTTTGTTACAGCAGTCAGCCCACCCTCACCCATACAGATGTTTCTGGAAGGGTCTTTTTGGCATAATGAAATTCTGGTCTAGGGTTTCCTTGGGAAAGGGCTCCCCTCCATGCCTCGAGCTTCATAAAGGGAGAGTCTCCCAGGGAGAATGCAGAGCCTCACACATAGTAGGTCTTCAGTTAATATTTGTGGAAGTGGCTGAATGAACGTCCCGTCTCAGAGGCCCTTGGCCCACAGGGAAGCTTCCTGAATGGAGACGTGGGAAGAAGGTCTTCTTCAAGCCACTTCTGTCTCCACCCTTCCTGGATACCCCACCGTGACCCTCACCCTCCTGCCTGCCTGTCTCCGGTACGGTGCTGGGGAGACAACCTCAGCGATAACACCTGGAACCTGCTCGTCAAGTCACACGTCACTATACAAATATCAAGCTGACTTCATTCTGTCCCGACTGGCTGTAAAATCCAGGAAAAACCCAGCGGCATGGGCCCCAAGCTGCACACACTATATTCAGATGTTTACAGAAAACCAGGGCACAAGGATTTGCTCGAAAGCTAAATTTCCTCTTAGCCAAAGCCCAGAAATGCCTTTTAAACCCTGAGCAAATAAGCCAGAGGAGAAGGCATTCTCCCTGTGCCGGAGCCCTCCGAGCCAGGGGATCTTCAACTTTTCAAGGGAACAAGCTTGCTGCAAAAGACGCCACACAGAGGAGCTCCTCGCCACCCGCAACCACCAGGCTTCCAGAACTTGCCCTTTGGTCCTGGGGCAGATGGTCCGAACAGCCACAAGCCCCAGGCCTGACTTCAGGCTGCAAATGGAAGAAGCTTGAAGCATACATCTAGGTCCAATTAGAAAGACAGCGTTGGCTCAAAATAGAATTAAAATAAGCCATTGTTTTAAAAAAATTAACCAACCAAACAAAACCCTTTCCCCATGGAATGTTGAACTGAGTTGGGTGTACCCTGAACAAAAATTTGCTGGAACAGCACAGACATTGGGCATCATCTCAGTGCTCAATTTACTGAGCACTTCCTGTGTCCCAAGCCAGGACTTTCTACAGGAAGCCCCTTTAATCCTTACAACAAGTTTCTGAGACAGGAATCATTATTACTCCTCTTTTACAGATGCGGAAACAGAGGTGCAAAGAGCATGTTATGTAAGAGGTTCAATTTCATAGAGCCCATGAGTGGACGTGCCAGGATCCTAACTCGGCATGCCTGGAATCAGCCAGGGCCCAGCTTGAGGCCCAGCTCAGCTTGGCTATGTGACCTTGGGCAAGTTATTTAACTTCTCTGAGCATCTGAAGACAAGAATAGGAATAGTACCTATTTCCTAAGATTAAGTGAGACGGTATATGCGAAAGTAGCAAAGTGTTCATTTCCCCTCCTTGCATTTTGCCGTGTGTGTTGTTTTATTTATAAGGCGTTGTTCAGGCTGCTGGTAGCTGGAAGCAGAGCCCGGTTGTCCACGTGCGAGTGGGGAAGAGCTGTGGAGAGTTGTGGCCAAGAAGCAGCAGGCACATGGGGGCCGAGCGCATTGGCAGGGGTTGCAAGAGGTAAGAAGCGGCCACAGAAGGGAGAAGGGGGTTTGGCAGGATGAGCAATGAGACCTCCAAACCCAGCAGCAAAATGGGTGAAAATGGCCGCCTGGATAAAAGACGACGTGGCCCCCTTGGGTATGGCCGCAAAGGCACCCCTGCTTTCTCCTTGCCACGGGGAAAATGATTTGGCTGAGCAAGGAAATGGGGGGAGAGGAAAGGCTGTGGATGGCTGGGATGGACGGGGCAGTGCGTGGGAGAAGGAAGGCATCACATGAGCAGGAAGAAACAGGCCGTGTATGAATTTCCTGAGGCTGCTGTCACAAATGGCCACAAACTGGTGACTTAGAATAACAGAAATTTTTTCTCTTACAGTTCTGGAGGCCAGAAGTCTGAAATCAAGATGTCAGGGCCACACCCCCTCTGCAGGCTCCAGAGGAGTATCCTTCCTTGCTTCTTCCAGCTTCTGGTGGCTCCAGGTGTCCTTGGCTTGTGGCCGCATCACTCCAGCCTCTGCCTCCGGCTTCACATGGGCTTCTCCTCTCTGTCTTCCTCCTTTCTCTTCTCTTATAACCACATTTGTCATCACATTTAGGGCCCACCCTAATCTGGGATATTCTCATCTTGAGATCCTTAACTTGATCACATGTGCAAAGACCCATTTTCCAAATAAGGTCGCATTCCCAGGTTCCAGTGGACACATCTTTTAGGGTCCACCATTCAACCTGCCGCAGGCTAAGGAAATAGAAGGGTTCATTTGCCCCCTGAAACTTATAATCGATAATGATTTCAAAGGTAAAAAAAAAGTACAGAATATTAAAATAACAGACACTCTTGTACCGAGAACCCAAATTTAATAGATGTGAACATTTTTTCATAATTACTCCAATGTCTGTCTTGGGGAAAAAAAAGGAAACGAAGATGTAAAACATACAAACACATCACTTCCCCTCCTTCTCTCCTTAGAGATAACCACAGTCCTGAATTTGGTCTTTCATTCTCGTGCAAGTTGTTATACTTTCTCTGCATGTGTATCTAACTTTAAATAATTGATGGTATTAGTTCATGTGTTTTTAAATTTTACATAAATGGTATCACTCTGTATTTAGCCTTTTTAAAATTAGTAGTTTCATAAAGATATAATTCCCATATGAAACTCATGCTTTTAAAGTGTGAAATTCCGTGGTTTTTAATATATTCACAGAATTGTGCAGCCATCACCACTATCTAATTCGAGAACATTTTTGTCACCCTGGAAGGATGCCCACACCTATTAGCAATCACACCCCATTCTCGCTCCCCCCACTCTCTGGCCACCACTAATCTACTTTCTGTCTCTATGGATTTGCTGATTCCAGATGCTTCATATAATGAAATACATGTGCTCTTTCGGGACTGGTTTCTTTCATTTAGCTAATGTCTGTAAGGTTCATCCATGCTGTATCTTGTGTCAGTGCCTCGTTCCTTTTTATGGCTGAGTAATATTCCATTGTATGGACGTGCCACTTTTTATTTACCCATTCATTAGTTGGTGGACATTTGGGTTGTTTCTACTTTGGGGCTATTATGAATAGTGCTGCTATGAATATTCTTGTACAAGTTTTTGTGTGGACATACGTTTCAATTCTCTTGGGTGTATACTTAGGAGTGGAATTACCGGGTCATATGGTAACTACGTTTAACTTTTTGAGGAACTGCGTAACTGTTTTCGAAAGTGGCTGCAGCATTTTGCTTTCTCACCAGTGACGTATGAGGGTTCCAGTTTTTCCCCATCCTTGCCAATACTTGCTATTGGCCCCTTTTTGATTGTGTCCATCCTAGTGGGTGTGAAGTGGTATCTCATCGAGGGTTAAATTTTTGTATTTCTTATAGCTAATAATATCGAGCTTCTCATCTGTTTATTGGCCATTTGTGTGTTTTCATTGGAGAAATATTTATTCAAATTCTTTTCCCATTTAACAAATTGGTTGTCTTTTTGTTATCGAGTTGTATAAGTTTTTAAAAATATATTCTGGGTACAAGTCCTTTATCTGATTGCAAACATTTTCTCCCATTCTGTAGGAGAATACACAAAAGTTTTAAATTTTGATAAAGTCCAACTTATCTATTTTTTCTTTTGTCACTTTTGCTTTTACTTTCGGTGTCATTTCCAAGAAACCGTTGCCTAGTCCAAGGTCCTGAAGATTTATGCCTATGTTTTCTTCTATGAGTTTTATAGTTTTAAGCTCTTATGCTTAAGCCTTTGATCCATTTTGAGTTAATTATTATGTATAGTGTAAAGTAGGGGTTCAGCATTATTTTTATGCCTGTGGATATCCAGTTGTCCCAGCACAATTTGTGGAAAAGATTATACTTTCCCCTTTGAGTTGTCTTGGTGCCCTTGTTGAGAATCAACTCGCCATAAATATAAGGGTTGATTTCCGGACTCTCAGTTCTGTTCCATTGGTCTACATATCTATCCTTATGCTAGTATCATGCTGAGTTGATTACTGTAGCTTGGTGGTAAGTTTTTATATTGGGAAGTGTCAATCCTCCAACTTTAATCTTCTTTTTCAAGATAGCTTTGGCTGTTCTGGGTCTCTTGCAATTCCATGTGACTTGTAGTAGCATCGTACCAATTTCTGCAAAAAAGGCAGCCGGAATTTTGATAGAGATTGCATCGAATCTGTGGGTGAATTTGGGTAGTATTGCCATCTTCATATTACGTCTTCCGACCCATAATCATGGTATGTTTTTCAATTTGTTTAGCTCTTCTTTACTTTCAATGATGTTTTGTACTTTTTAATGTTCAAGTCTTGCATTTCTTTTGTTAAATTTATCCCTAAGTATTTTGTTTTTATGCCATTGTATATGGAATTGTTTTTTAAATTTTATTTTTAGATTGTTTGTTTCTAATCTATAAAAATACAATAGATTTTCGTATATTGATCTTGTGTCCTGCAACTTTGATTAACTCATTTTTTAGTTCTCATCGTTTTTTTTGTTTTTACCTTTTGCATTTGTGGATATCCTTGGGATTTTCTGCATACAAAATCATGCCATCTACAAATAGAGACAGTTTTCTATCTTCCTGTCTACTCTTTGCCTTTTATTTCTCTCTCTCACTTAATCACCTTAGCTAGAATCTCCAATACAATGCTCGGTAGAAATGGTGAGAGCAGATCCCTTG